CCTGTCCCCCCGCCCCCACCTGAACCCCCTTCCATCTTAGGGTCGCGAGTGCCCGCTACCTCTGTGTTTCGCGAGTCTGAATTCTCTTGTCTCCCTCCACTAGCAGGAGTAACCAACTGGACCAACTGCCAACCATCAGTGTTAAAAAAAAGGAAGTGACTCACTTGTGTTTCCAGCATTGCACCACTCGCTTCCAGGTGTGGGACAGCCAAAACCTCCCCAAAACTCCACAGCAGCTGCTGGACAGTCCAAGACTGCGAGGAGGAACAGCCCCAGCCAGCCCAGCGAACTGAAGGTGACACGGGTCATCTTCAGTGTGCTGCTTGTTCCCTCTGTGAGTCTGATGAGACGTACCAGCTTTCCAAAGGGAAACGTGAAGTACCTACCTTTTCACCCTGCTTGTAGGCCAGCCCCTGGCTGACTGCCCTTGCACTCCACAAAAGGACGTGTTTCTTTTTGCTTCACCAGCACTCCTGCACTCTTCCCATCTTCCCTCCTTGTGCTGGCACTTAGCTGACATTAGCACTGCATTGCCAACCTGAAAGTTCAATTTTTGCACGTGGTTATTTTGGAATTGAGGGAAAAAAAAAAAATCAGAGAAAGTCTGCTTTACCTGTAGCAGGTAGCCTGCAGGAGAGTTCCTAGCACTGTCAGCCTGCCATAGCATAAAGGGGACAGTCGTCAGCTTGGAGAAGCAAACCAATTTATTCTTGAGTGCTGAAATTTCTGATATCCCTCAGAGACCCTCCAAGAGCTTAATAAATCCCAGGAATGTTAAACTATTTGTTGTCCGGAGCGGAGTTAGGAGTTTGTGTCATTTAGTAACAGTATGATGATAATGATAGAGTATCATACATAAATCATACAGTACCATATGTAACAAAGTGATAATATCATAAGTGTAGTTTGTTTCCTGTGAAGAGTTCCCTATCCTAAATTTTTCCCAACAGAATAGAGAAAACAGCAGGAGCGGAGACACATGTAGAGAGGTGATGGGACATACGCTCAAATGTACTGGAATTCGTGTGTTCTAAGGAGACTAATGAGCGAAGAAGGCATTCCGGGGAGCATGAGCCGTACGAAAGCAGAGACAAAGCAAAGCAGAAACAGGAAAAGGTAGTTTGCGTGTGACGTAGCGCTTTCATGATGCAGTCAGGTAACAACCTGGTCTCTCAGAAAGCCAAAAGGGAAAAGACAGGATTCATAAGACTATAGCCAAAAAACCAGTAGGAGAGGATGGCCCTAACAGGTTGAGTCCAGGGGGTGGCTGTTGGGAACTATGCATAGCAGGAGGAGAATGTTTTATTTAAAAGCTTAATTTTGAAGGGGTTAAATGGGAGGTGGGACTTCTAGGGGGAAACACAGAACAAACGGGAGGCGGGCTGAGCCATGGAAGAGAATGGCAGCTTTAAGAGACCGAGGAAGCCAGTTAAAGATGGGGTTCTCAAAGACAGGTATTTAAAAAAGCATTCTTGAAGGCAAAGAAACACAAACTAGAAAACGGATTTGAAGCAAAGGAAGGGGAATACCATGGAAGAAATCATGACTTCCAGAACCTGTGAAATGAGGGACACAGAGGAAGGCAAAAGAAACAGGTCCAAACATGGATATAGGAGACACGCATGTGCAGGTACTGCTTGCTTTTGCTTAAAAAACTGAGTAAGGGGGAAAAAAATCCCAGTAAAAATTGCAGGAGTACTCAACGTAAGGGGGAAATTGGAAGGGAAGGGAAGAGCCGTAAGAATAATGATACTTCTGGTACCCTTGGCACAACTTGCGAGGGTAGTAATAGAAAAGCTAGTATTAAACTCAGTCACTTTAGAACCACCCTTTAATTAAAGCTAATCAGTGTGGTTTTTAATAGCTTGTCAAATCCCATCTAACTTTTCAAAGAGGCTGCAAGGGGAACTGCTGGCTTGACGTAGCTTGTATGTACAACACGTGTCTTACTACATAAAGGTACTTTGCTTGGAGAGCCACCAAACCCTGACACACCGCATCACTGAAACGTAAGGGGAAATGGTGACCCCTCTGTTCAGGGGAACTGTCTGCCAAATAAATGGACTTCTAGAGGGACTCAAACCAGCCAGCTGTGTATTGGTGAGAACGGACCTGACAATAAACCACAGAACTACCACGAACAGCATGTGCAAATGACACACCTGGGTCTGGAGGGGAAAACAGCCTAAAAATAACATCAAGGGCTTACTCAGTGAGCAGCTGAACACAGAAGGGCTGACATTCACCTGGGAAGGCAGGTGTATTGCTTACAAAATCGCTGTTGAACAGTTTCTACTTAGTATACGCCTCAAAAAGGGGCTGTGAAATAGTGAGAAAAAAAACATCACAAGAGACAGAATCCCCCTCTTCAGTAACAGAATTAAGGTGTGATCTCCTCCTGTACGAGAAGCTAAAGCCAACAAAGTGCAGTAGCTGAAAGGTGAAGTCAGACAACCTAGCAAAAATCAGATGCACGTTTTTATAAGAAGAATTAATCGAGATGACTCACCGAAGGGTTGTAATGGCTCCTTCATCCCTTGCAGATTTTTAGGTCGACAGGCGAGTGTCTTCCTGAAGACACCTTAACCCCACCGTTGGTAGCTCGCTAGAAGAGCTGGCGGATGAATTCCGATTCTCATTACATAGACGTTTTGAGTAGAAGCTGTTGATGACTTCTCTGAAGTTCCAGTCTATGGAGAAGTTGATCAGAAAGGGTAATACAGTTATTGCTGAGGAGAGTAAAAATGTAATTACTTTGTGTCTGATTAATAATGAGGCCAACTTACGCACTTACCAGCATCAAATGCAGGAATAGAAAAGTGCTAATAAAGGGGAATATTTAAAGTCTAAAGACAGAAGTGATTAGTTACAGAAGGTTAAAAAAAATGAGAATAGATTCAAAGAGAGTAAGAGGAGTCACCAAAGCCTCACGTAATAGAATCAGGGAGAAGCGAATGATGCCAAACTACATTCAATGGTAGACAGAATGAAGGAAATTTGGAAGAAAAAAGACCAAGAAATATGTGTTATGGAGACAAGAGAAAAACAAATGAGCTAAGCAACTGGAAAATGAAGCTGAAAATGGAGTTTAATCAGATATTAAAACCATTATCATTGACAGTCCAAAAGCTCACATAGGAAATGGATATTGCTCGGAAATAACAGGAGGAAATGCGACAGGGAAAGGTGATAAAGTCATTCCAGCATTTCGGGGGGCAGAGGAGTTGCCGAGCGTGGCCAGAGGGAGCAGGCCCGGGGGCAGCGGGGGTGGAGGGAAGGCAGCAGCAGGTCTGCAGGTGGTGCAGGAGGCACAGGCGACTTAACACAGGTTAAAGTGAGGGAAACTGGAAAGTTCTGCCGGCTTCTGACGCCACTTCATCATCTCGTGTAGTGGGGAAAACGGTAACCAACCGCCAACCCCTCTCACTGCCTGACTGCATGTGCAGAGTCAACCAGAAAAGGACCAGCGTTCACATCCATTACATACATTTGATCATCATTCCTCTCTGCAGCCGTTTCGGTTTTGGAGTTGCCTTTGATGCAAAATCCAAAGACTGAAGCAACATATTATAAACAAATGAAAAGTCATCACAATCAGTTTAATGAAGTGCACAGAATAGCAATTGATCATGTCAATAAAAATAAAACAATTAATTTTACATCAAGTGTGCTTTATTTCCTCCACAGGTATTCTGTTAAATAAAGCACCATATATATACTGCCAGGCCACAGCTAAAGAGGATTCTTTACAGAATCAAATTTCTTGTGGTTGTTTAGTATACAAGTAAACTTAATTTTGATAATAAGAACCACAGCGATCTGAGGCAATCTGCCTCTATTATAAGGTACAAAACTGGCACAGAGGACACCATATTATACACAGTAAAAATGCCATAAGTTTAAATTACATCGTAACAGGGCAAGGAGGCCCTGTTCTCCCAGACAGCCATATTAAATGAAAGCCACTACAGTGAACTCTTAATTACATAAAACATACCCATTATCTGATTGCCCTTTAAGAAAGTGTACGGTAGAGGCAAAAAAATAAAATAAAATAAAAAAAAAATAAAATCTGGAGTTCTGCCTGACCAAGAATGAAGCGTATAAATCTATCTTGCCATTCAAGCAGAGAGCACTGGACAAACTGAAGCACAAAACAGAAATAAGCAAAACTTATACAAACAGCATTTTCAGGGGAAGGGGGAGGAAAAAAAAAAGAAAAAGACTTAAAAGCAGACATGCTCCATCTAATGTCAAGAAGCAGCTTGGTTTCCTTTTCCAGATATCCTTGTGACCACGTGAATCGTCGACTCAATGGTCCTACACAGGATGTCTAAAATGTCATGCTGCTGCATGTGACTAAAAAGTCCTCTGGAATGGCCACAACTGATTGATAAACTAGATTCAGGGTCCTGGGATGGTAAGGCTTGGCCATCGCAGCTCCTCAAATCCGCGAGGTCAGACAAAACTGCTGAAATTGATGTGGAAGGAAACTCCGAGTCCTCCTCGGCTCCAATGGAATCCTTGGAAGTCTGCAGGTCCTTAAATTCTTTGCATTCTTCAAATTTACCGTTCCCTGACTGCTCTTCTGTGTGCTGTGACCGCGTTGTCGCTAACGTTATGTCTTCTGAAAACGAAGAGGGAACTTCCATTCTGTACTCCTTGACAGAACTGTTCTCGGGGGAAGGAGGGTCTTGCTCAGTGCCCGGATCAATGATTGAAGAGTCCCGCGTCTCGTTATCCGAAGTGCTTGTTGGGGTCAGCGCCTCCCGGGGTTCAGTTTTTGTATCGCTGATACAGCTATCTACAGTGTGCTCCTCATCGCTGCTGACCCGCCTTCTCTTTACAGGAGTAGCTCCTTCATCATCTGCAAGAAAGAGGAAAACTGGCTTGGGGAAAATGCGTTGTTTTCATGCCACACGTCCAAGCAACAGGCCTTGCCTTTCCCATTCTCACCCTTTTCCCCCGTTAAGCACTGTACTTCAATAAATACTTATTTCCTTACAGAAGACACCTGTAATTGCCTAGAATTTTCATTCCATAATAAAATACTATTTCTGCAGTGTTGGGGATCGGAGCCAAGAAATGGCCCACCTTCAGCGGCAAGGAAACAAGGCGTTACATGAAGGCTGTAAAACCTCACAATTGTTAGAGTGACGCTTTTAAGAGAAGGCAAACCTTTAGTTTTTCTTTCTTTGGCTTCTTGCTCTTGTAGTGAGTTCCTCTGTTGTTGACAAGCTCTACATTTGTTTAAAAGCTCTTGTAGCGTTGGGATCAGGGCTGAATTGAGCTGTTTGGGAGTGTGCACTGAAAGCAGCAAGGCAAGTGCTCGGAGGTCCTAAAAAAAACCAGACGCAAACAAACTTAACCAGCCTTCTTCCACAGCCTCAGTTGATGAACCCTACGGACAGATATCTGTGCAACAAGCAGAGGCTTCAACCTGTTCTGTGTGTCCAAGAGATCAAATTCTAAATATACTTACACTACTAAACTTTCCCACTCCCTACTAATAGGCTGGTCTGTCCTGAGTGGGTGACAGGACCGTGCTGCTCGCTGTAGGATGAAATCTTTTGCCGGGTTAGAACATTTCTAAATTAACTCCGCTGCACTTTGCACGACTCGTTCTCCACAATGAGCTGCCCTCCATCCCGGTGTCACGGTCCCCACCATCAGCTTGGGAGACCCAGGGACATAGGCTGAGCACGCCCAATGGAACGGAGAGTTCTAGGCTGCTCAGATGGCTGCTCCATAAATTCACGGCTGTCTCGTTGGTGGGGGTTAACGTCTCCCACCAGCCAGTTAAGGTGCCCTCCCCTGCTCTGAGCCAGCAGCCCAGCCTAGCAAGTAGAGCAACAATGCCCACTGCTTTGATTAGGACCTGGAACCTGGCACTGAAGAGTTTCCATGGAAAGTAAGCTGCCTCCTAAATGATGCCACTATTTGAGTGGCTTAGGAAAGACTCACCCCGTTTAAAGTAGAGCTTGCTTTGGAAATTTCAACTCTCTGGTTGCTGAAGTCAGATTCTAGGTTTTGATACTGATTTATTAGATTCGTAATTAGAGTATTGATTAAGTTGGCACAGTTTGCTTCAGAAAACACCTGCCCTTGGACCTGTGAAAAGAATGATTTTTTTTTTTAAAAAAAAAAAACCACAGAAAAAGGGAACTGTGAGAACAGCATCCCAAACTGAAATAGCACACACGACTGCATTTTCTGAAATAGAAATTACCGCTGAAAGACCACGTACCTTTAGAAGAAAATGGGTCAGAAAGGTGTATACAACGTTGTTGTTGAGAAAGGTCCTTTCATCCATCAGAATGCATTTTATGTATTCTGCAAAAACCGGATCTTCGCAGAGGAGCTTTACGCAGTTCTTTGACATTGCAGACTGGTGAGGAAAGAGAGAGAGAACACTGCCGAGTCAGTGCTGGAAGTACGGCGCTGCGGTAGCGCTCTCTGCCAACCCTTGGCTTGAGGCATCCAACCAGGCCCCCTGATGTTCTTCACATGGGACCAGTCTTACTGATACAAATACTTCAGGTCTATCAGGCATCAATAAACTGTACAAATTAGTTATCATCAATTATTATTTCACATTTTTCTTTTATGAGGCTTATTCCCCGGGAACACCGGTTTGTCAGCATCAGCGTGTATCTGAAGAGCCGGCGTCTCATCCGCGAGACAACTATGGGCTCCCCCTGCGGAGGCCCCTGCCTGCAGTGGGCACACGACAACACCCCAGCTTAGAGATCCCCAGTTTTTATTTCATCATACCAGCGTTTATGCTATGTAAAAAGCTGGAAATTCACCAAAGGAGGATGAAGCAGTTTTTGTGCGCTGCACAGGCTGCCATCCTGCCACCACTGCGGGCTGTGTGAAGTTGCTGCATAAGATTTTGCCAGACCTGGGGTATACTGGGAGCAAATACAATTTGCCAGAATTTTTATACTTGATTTATCAGGTTTCACATTCACATTTGTTGTATTTTGCCTTAATTTTCATTCCATTAGTTCTCAAACTCATTGGCTCTTACCTGAGTTTGACAAAGCTCAGTCCAAAGTTTGGGGAATAGCGCAAGATGAAGCGGCAAACCTTCATATGCAACTAGGACACCTGAAACGTCACAGGAAATAAGTTACTGGCTGAGTTTTGTTGGGCGATCCTTGCTTCCTGATAAAAAAAGTAACACCGAGGTGCCGTATCATCTTGTAAGACCACATTCTAAGCATTTTTTATAATCAGAAAGACCTATCGTCTGCGAAGGTTTTATACTGCATTTAATAAACACTTCGGTATTTCTGTGAAACGTAAAAATCCCCTAAAGAGCTGGCTTTAGGACCGGGTTTGTCACCAGGTTATTTTATTCCTCTCTTACGTTTTCAGCTGGTCAGCAACAGCACTTAAAAGATTTTAACTCTTTTTTTTTTTTTTAAAACCAGTATATCATTTTTAAAGGGTAATCTTCATTATTAACCCAAGCACTGTTGTTACCCAGACCACAGAAGAGGTCAGGGATACCGAACAATAGCAAGTCATACACAGTCCCAGGGCGCTTTATAAACACAACCTATAGTAAATATTAGTAACGCTAGAGTTACAATCAGAAAAGCGTGACAAACGGCGAGCAAGTGGGCGATTCAGGGGATCAAAAGAACATTCTGCTATCATCGCTCTTTGGACAAGATCAATTTGGTATAGTTGTATTTCTCTGGAAGTGGTATTTAATC